GGGGAAAGTTGTTTCAACAGCATGCTTGACCATTTAAAATTATTATTAGGCACTATGGTGAATTGTTCAAAGCAAACATTCAATTACTACTTATTTTAGATTGACTCCAGAATAATAATTATCAAAAGTTTAGGAACAATCTCAATACTTCAGAGTTTTGGAAAATTAGATGTGATTGAAAATGAAAGAAAATATAGTTTTGACTTTTAAGATAATATAGATTGTTAAAGCTTATTATATATATTTAAATATGTAATTCCTACAATAAAAGGCCATCAACTAATACACAAAAAATTGTGTCTGGGTTATTTGGTTTTCTTTCTGTTTTTAAATCAGAGACTTTAATACCGTTTTATTTCTCCACTTAGATTTTGACCAAAAAGAATTTTCTTTTAAAAAAACAAGCATTTTTATAATTATAACTAAAATTTTCATGATTAAGCACATAACTAAAAATTTAGCAACTGCATAGATGTTTCAAATTTAGATTTTAGAAGATAAGATTATATACTGGTAAACCTAAGATCCTTTGTTTTCCAAAAAGTATAAATTCTTCAGAAAGTTTTTTAATTAAGTCAGTAATCTGATTGTTTTTTGAATGATTTTAAAATGTTTTCTGGAAAATAAAACCAAATAAGATAAAATCTGTGTACTCTTTACTAACAATTATTAAAATATGGAACATTATTTATACAGATAATAAAATGAGAGATACCTTTTAAGTCCCACTGATGTGATAAAGTAAAAAACACACTAAATATAACTCAGTAAACACCCTTCTAAGTAAAGATCAGCAAAAATTAAAAAGTCTAAGGATTCTGTAGTTTCTGGAAATGTAAACAAGATTATAATTGTCAGATGTACAAGAGCACTGACTTCAGCCATTAGTTTGGTTTTGCTTCTGAGAAACACAACATGAACTACTGAATCTTTTCTTTTCAAATTTATACATTCCCTGAAGCAGTTTAAGCTTCATCAGCAGTGCAGGAATGTATAAAAATGACAGGCAAAGGGCGTTAGTTTTCTTTTTTTCTCATACTGTTTTCCTGTAAGTGGAAGACAGAGTTCTTTCTCAAAGCACTTAAGCTGAAGCTGTTTAAGTCAATGATGAAGGAAAATATAACTGAATTCCCTACACAAGACAGTATCCGAGGTTTCAAGAAAATTTTGAAAAAATCAAATACTATATCATCTTAGAATAAAATGCAGGGTGGCCATAAAGTTCATGTGCTATTTAAAATAGTGTGCAATTTTTTAAAAAAATGCACACGAAATTTATGAACACCCTGTATTACAAGGTTAGCATTCTGCTTTAATTGCCCATTATTTTAAATTAGAAATATTTTCAGTTTAAGCATTGTCAACTCATCACCTTACTTTCAGCACCAGAGCACAAAGTTCTGCTTCTGTGTTTCAATTTTAAACATAACAATGTGCTCAAATGAAAATACACCAATTTTCTATTAAAATTATTTTTATAAATAGTTATTTTTTATTTTCAAGTTTATATACTCATAAGTGTTTCAGTGAGAGGAAATAAAAGTTTTTTTAATCATGATGAAGTAAAAACAGGACGTAATGGAATAATCTGGCTAGTTTTCTGGGCCTTCAACATTCACATTTCTCAAAAACTCATAATTATTATAACCTCAATTTTTAAAAGCAATTGAAAAGTTTTCAGAATACAGTTTTAAGAGACACATATTTTAGTTTATAGTAAACAAAAACATGCCCACCTCAGTATTATCTTCTGCATTCTTATAAAACGTTGCTAATGTAATGATGTGAAAGGTAAAGTCTAGAGAAGTCTGAAGGCTGTGCTACCTGCAATCCACAACAAAAAATTCCAATCACACCCCTCAAAGTCCTCCTTCCCTTTTTAGGAATGCCCTGTACCATAGCTCTGGGCAGAAGCAAGCTGATGTTGGCACTGCCTAAAGCAAACAAACAAGACGTTTAACAGTCACATAAAATGTCCTGCAGCCTCCCTAATGAATTTGTCAAGGACCATCAGATTTTGCGCCCCCTCCTTTGGCTCATTAACTCAAGTATGATGAGACGGATTATAACAAGAGAATGCAGATCAATCGGTCTGAAGACTTCAAGTGGCTTTTAGCCTCTGGAGTTTCTTTCTCTCACTAGGTCTCCTTTAGTAGAGGACGTTATCTCCTGCAGAAGGAGCTGCCATTTGCTTTTAAAGCACCATCAGGAGCTGCTGGTGGACTTCTATGCTAACGTACATAAAAGCAGAGGCGACAGGGCTCTTCAATTACAGCCTCCTCCGACACCGTTCTCCCTTCAATTATTTAACCAGAGGAGGAGAGGATCCGCAAACACACAGCTGAAGCTGCAGTGAGAGCGGAGGTGGCCAGCGCGAGCTGGGGTGGGGGAGGGGGAGACAGAGAGCTAGCGAGAGGGAGCAGTACTTGCTGGAAGTGTTTAAGTTTATTGCTGAAATGATGTTTCTAATTAGTACCACGCCATAAATTAAAGTCGTCTTTGTTTAACTGATTTATTATTTACTAGAGCATCTAACTTAGAAGGGGTAAATTGGTAATGAATTGTTTTTAAAATCAAAACATTTGTAACGTTTTGTCATCCTTCAGCCTCTGTAGGCAAAAGTGCAGGAACGCAGGGACAAAGGTGCGAGAAAACTTAGTCGTGCTTGACAGAGCCGGGAACAGAAGTGGCGCCAGGAGTCAGTCCAACGGTGGCGCAAAGAAGCACGCCGCCCGGGCCACGCCGCCGGCGAGGAGACAGCGTGGGTGGAGGACGCTGGGCGCCTACCCCGGGACCAGCGCGGGCGGGCGGCACGGCTGGCCGGTGGATGGACAGCTTTGCCAGCACTCCAGGGAACGTCGCGGGCGAGGCTACTCCACGCGCAGTCTCAGCCACGCGCGCCCCGGAGGCGGGGAAGAAGCGGCCGCCTCGAGCGTCGGGGAGGGAACGCTCTGCACCCTCCAGCCCCGCCACCAGTCTCCGCCCAGAACAACTGCTACTCTCACAACTCCGCTCCGAACCGCTTCTCTCCCTCGCTCCTACGGATCCTCTCCCGACGGGTCACTCAACTCCCTGAGGCAGAGTGCCCTCCAGTCCAGTGAAATTTCCCGGTGCGACCTCGCGCCGGGTTACCGACAGAGCATGGGCTTCCACGCGCACGAACCCCGAAGGCGTTCTGGCTCCTCTCTGTCCTACAGCAGCAGCGAAGCGTGCCTGGACGCAAGCTTCTTCCTTCCAGAAAGCTGGAGCCCACAGCCGCCCCAAGTCTCTACCACTCTGGAGAAGTTAAAGCTGAGTCTCGAGGTTTCACGTACCCTTCATTCTGACTATTCTTCTTAATTACTCGTTACTAAAGACAAATACTAAGCAATAAATCAGAGTTGATTAAGGGAGGAAAAAGCAAAGTTTTTTTGTAAAGGGAATATAACAAGAGAAGTAGGGTGGCAAGATGCCTGTTGTCCGCATCAGATGTAAAAGAAAGAACCAAGAGGTCCAAGTGCCTGACACCAAATTGATGGAAAGAAACTATCTTCCCTCTTCAACTGAATTCAGGTTCACCTGATTGGGGTTTAAAAGGGCAAGTCATGTCCTCCCAAGGGGTTTTGCAAAAGCTACGCCACCAGGTTTAGCAAAATGAAGTCTTCACTCAAAGGGCTTCACAGATTTTTATTTTCATCACATAAGCCAGGGCTGGAATATAACCTCCCAAATCAAACTAAAAGTAATCCCAATTACCTGACATGTTTTAAAAAGACGCAGAATGCAGACACCTTAGGTTCAATTATAAACCCTCAATATTAAGCAAATCAAAAACGGTGTTATAGCTTTCTTAAATTGAAAAGTATCTGAGTACTACCTTGTTAAGGATAAGACATATACAAAAGGCAAACGCATTGAAATGCCAAGGGAGGAGTGAAGCCTGTGTAATCGATAACAGGATAGTTGAAGATTTTTGTAGCAGTTAAGTCTTTTAAAAGCAATAGTCACTTATAAAAGTAAAATCATTTTATGAATGAGACTCTACAGCCTGAGAATGCATCCAAAATTAGATTTACAACATTAACTTTTAAAGAAAACTTATTCACCTTCCCTTCATTTTCATTTAGTTTGAAACAATTGTAGTAGCTTATTTTAATTTAAAAGTATATCCTACTAAATTCTACAACATATAAATTTGCACCATTTCTCACCACTTAGATACTTTCTCTCTAGTACCTGGTCATTGTAATGATAAAGTAATGACATTAAATATATCTGAATCTTAATTGTGAAATAAGTATCAAACAAGTTAGTTGCTTAGACTATTTTTTGTCCTGCCCCATTTTTCAACAGCATATCAAAATTACTAAAAAGAGATTCATGGTCATATCCTCACACTATTTCCACTCCAACCCACACTGGTGCACATATACAGCAATTGCTTTGGCTATTGGCAACAATGGGAGGGGAGCAACAATAAAAGATGGGAAGACTTTACAGGAAGAAAAAAACCCTAGAAAACCTAGGTCCTTTCCCAGACTCCCCTTTCTCCTCCCATCTGCCTTCAAGCCAAAGTAATTTTGTTAGAGTTTGCACCTTCTGCACAATGTAGATAGAATTAAATTTTTTTTAAAAAAGTGAACCTTTCTGAACCACTGCTACTCTCTCTCGCGTTATTCCAGCCATCTCCAGGAAAAGTCCCTCTATATAGACTTTTTCTTCTCTGCAATTGATAAGAAAGGAGGACATAAAGGAGGATAAAGAAGAGGGGAGCTGTAAAATGTGTGCGAGTATTTGACTTCCACTATCTCCTCCTATTTTCTTACTTCTCCCTTTACCCCCTTTCTTTATCAAGTGCAGTGGTGGCTACCGTTCGTCAAGAGTGCCTCTCTTCCTTCTCGGATTGGCTAAAGCAGTGACAGCTCGGATAGCGATTGTAGGAACTGAAGCTCCACCCCCTTCTTGATGGCCCTGGGACCATTCATAAACTAAATAACTCCAGGAAACAGCGAGGTAGAGAGAGAGGGGAGAGAGAGTGAGGGGAAGAGGAGAGAGAGGGAGGGAGAGGAAGAGAGAGAGCGAGAGCACAGAGGCGAGGGAGAGGGGGAGAGAGACCTCAAGGGAGAAGGGGAAAGGGGAGGAGGGAAAGAGGAGAGCCTGAGGTCGGAGGGGAGTAGGGAGAGACGACTCAGAAAGTGGAATCTGTACAAGCAGCCTACAGGAGGAGAAGAAAAACCCTGAATCGTTATAACTACACCCCAGATGAAACGCAAGCAACGACTCCATCACACTAAAACAGATTTTGTGAGGGCCAAAAGTATAAATTACGAAGCAGAAATGAATATCAAACAACTTATAGCGGTTTGCACCTAAAGACAAGAAGAACCCACTACAAACAAATCAACCCAGTCCAAACAACGCCTCCAGTAGGAAAAGAGGAAAACTGCGACGACAACACTACCCCCTAAGAAGAGACAAGACCAACACGCTGAGACTGTGGGGAGTCCTCAAACCTCCGAGAGAGTGCCGCGGACTGAGCTGCGCTACGTGGCTGTCTGGGCATTAATTACATCCTTCAACGACCATTCAGGGGAGGGTGAGGAGTAAGGCTCTCTCCTACCTGGGTGAGGAAGTCCTACCAGCGTAGGAACAGAAGTTTAAGAATGAACCACTAAATGTTTTGCGTTTATTTTTAAATTTACTTTGGCACTTAAAAGACTTCATAGTTCCAGATTTCTGGGCAATCTCGGCTGTGGACATCTAAGCCTAACCTTTTGGTAACCTGAATTTTTCTCTCTCTCCTCTACCTCCATCCCGCCCCACTCACCGTCAATTTTATTTGCATATCAAGAGAAAGCAAAATAGTCCCAGAAGGTACTTTTCTTTTTCAAAAATTGCCATTTTCTAATTTTCTGCAAAAGAAAACGATTTTGAAAGAGAGAAAAGAAAAAGCCAGCCGGCTACAGCATCAGGCGGTCAGCCCAGGTGGAAAACCAGAGTGAAAGTGGGGCTTAACCCAGAGCCCACCGCCTCTTTCAAAAGCCAAGCCGCAGGGCCACCACCAGTGCGTGAGCCTTGGATCCCTCAACGTATTGCGAGACGCCGGTGTATAGCCCGGACCTGTGCCCAAACATGATTGCCGCTCAGGCCAAGCTGGTCTACCAGCTCAATAAATACTACACTGAGCGCTGCCAGGCGCGAAAGGCGGCCATCGCCAAGACCATCCGAGAGGTCTGTAAGGTGGTCTCGGACGTGCTAAAGGAAGTGGAGGTGCAGGAGCCTCGCTTCATCAGCTCCCTGAGTGAGATCGATGCCCGCTACGAGGGGCTCGAGGTCATCTCGCCCACTGAATTCGAGGTGGTGCTCTACCTAAACCAGATGGGCGTCTTCAACTTCGTGGACGACGGCTCGCTGCCCGGCTGCGCCGTGCTCAAACTGAGCGATGGGCGGAAGCGGAGCATGTCTCTCTGGGTCGAGTTCATCACAGCGTCGGGCTACCTCTCAGCGCGCAAGATCCGCTCTCGCTTCCAGACGCTGGTGGCCCAGGCGGTGGACAAGTGCAGCTATCGGGATGTGGTCAAGATGATCGCCGACACCAGTGAGGTCAAGCTGCGCATCAGGGAGCGCTACGTGGTGCAAATCACTCCGGCGTTCAAGTGCACAGGGATTTGGCCTCGAAGCGCGGCACAGTGGCCCATGCCTCACATCCCGTGGCCTGGCCCCAACAGGGTGGCGGAGGTCAAGGCCGAAGGGTTCAACTTGCTTTCCAAGGAGTGCTACTCGCTGACTGGCAAGCAGAGCTCGGCGGAGAGCGACGCCTGGGTGCTGCAGTTCGGAGAGGCGGAGAACCGCCTGCTTATGGGCGGCTGCAGAAACAAGTGTCTCTCGGTGCTGAAGACCCTGCGGGACCGCCACCTGGAGCTGCCCGGCCAGCCGCTCAATAACTACCACATGAAGACGCTGCTGCTGTACGAATGCGAAAAACACCCGCGGGAAACGGACTGGGACGAGTCGTGCCTGGGCGACCGGCTCAACGGCATCCTGCTGCAGCTCATCTCCTGCCTGCAGTGCCGCCGCTGCCCTCACTACTTTCTGCCCAACCTCGACCTCTTTCAGGGCAAGCCCCATTCGGCCCTGGAAAGCGCTGCCAAGCAGACCTGGAGGTTGGCCAGGGAAATTCTCACCAATCCCAAAAGCCTGGACAAACTATAGGGTGCTTGGGGACTGCTTGAAAAGCGACAAAACCGGGCGTGCTCTCTCAAACACACAACACGTAACTGAGCGATCAACAGCAGAAACTTAAGACACAAACTTTATGTAAGTCACCTGAGAGGAAAAGGAATCAGGCGGAAGACCTTCATTAATTAAGAAACAGAGAGCAAACTAACCAAAACAAATCATGTTCTTGCACAAAAGTGATCATTTTCTTCCAAACAATGTGAATTTAAAGGGTCACACAAAAGAAGCAATCGGGCTTTACCACCACAAAATGAAACCCAAGGTACATTTTCAAATCAATGTATAATAGTTTTCCCCCTTTTCTTTCTCTCTCTTTCTCTCTCGTTTTTTTTTTTTTTGGTTGCCTGAATGTCACCAAGTGAAAAATTATTTAACTATATGTAAAATGTCTCTTTTAAAAAAAGTTTTACTGATGTTAAATGTATCTCAGTGCCAATGTCAGATTGTGCCCCTGCCTTTCTTGCACCTCTACCCTTACCCTAAGCCCTCTTGTTGAAGACAGTAATAAAAATATTACTTTACATTGTAATTGACTGTTTGTGGATTGTTCTTAAATGAAGGCAGGTGAGATCACAGTTTAAAACTTAACACTGTGAAGATGAGAACTTGAGAAGCTAAATGCAAGAAGCTTCCATTTAAACTCTGATTTACAAAATTTAAAATACAACATTTTATAGAATTAACTGTAGGCGTTCCCACTAAAATCCTTAGAAGATAAAGTATTAATTTTACTCAACCAAAAGATATATTTTTTCTGTGGACTTTGAGATTAAAGGTAACATCTATTTCATATTTGAAAACAGAAAAACATTGTAAAAGAACAGATTTGGATCTTATTTTTTGAAAGAGAAAAAAGAATTTTTCACATTAAAAATTAAGGTATTTACTTTCCTATGCCAGAATTTTAAAACAACCTAAAGCCTAAATACAAAGGAAATATTTACAAATCTTTTCCAAATACTTAAAGTCAGTTGATACTTTTCCGTCAACCATTTGTTCCTCTTCAGGCTTTAAAGAATAAAAATTTAATTATTAAATCAGCCACACCAAAAAAAGAATAGAATGGTTACAGCAGTATTTCTCTCTTCCAACAAATGGTGATATGAACAATTCAGATTTATAAATAACTTCAATTTTAAGATGGCTTAGTTGTAAATGCCATAAGGATTATTTTTTATGAAATTGTAAGAATTATTCTGAAGCTGCTTGTATGCAATTCAAACACAAAAAGGTTTTAATACCATGTTTACAACCAAAGAAAAATTATTGTTTCAAGAGTTTACAAATAGGCAAAGTACCTTCCTCCTCTTGGTGCTTTTCTAAGGTAGCAATCCAATATACTCATTTGAATGTTTCAAATTTAACAATGGTTCATTTTTAAGGCCAGGAAACAAATGATTAGAAAATTTTTTAAAATTAGTAAAACTGAAATATCCCAAAGGAATTGATTTCTCTTCTTTATATTGGAGGTAACTCCATTAGCTATGCTAATGGTGAAGCACAGGTACAGAATGTCTGTCAGATGTTACCCTTTAATATTTAAAATTTATCCTTTGTATTAGCCCAGCTCTACTTTACTGGGGAAACCCATGAATGAAAGATGTAGAAAAAAATGTTCTAAAAAAACAACTTTAAAGATCAGAGGAAGAAATTTGAGTGGGGGAAGGGGGTGTATGGAAGGATGAGCAGCAGGATAGCAGAGATAGATGAAAAACAAGAAAACTGCTCAGGGATCTGAAGTCTAGTTCACTTGACAAACAGGCTTAAGTTGTAAGATCTCCTGGTAAAAACAGCCCTGTGTTAAAAATATAAACTTTGATCTTATCGGTTCTGAAATCATCTCCCCTCTTTCAACGTATATTATAACTATTTTTCTAGTCTTTCTACCTATAGATGTAGAACAAACTCACCATAATACTAAGTGGTTCAGAGGAATACACTAATTCTTTTAAATAATAAAAACCAATTTTGTCTCTGGGGAAAATGCTCTCAATTTTAAGAACATTTCCAAAACAAGCATTAGATGCTTATACTTTCATGAAATAATTTAAAGGAACAGTATTTAGTTAAAAAGATTAAAATGATATTTTAAAACTTAGAAAGGTATTTATAGCATTAGACACCTAGCTCTCCCTAGCTATTCCTAGAAAACATTTAAGACTTGACAAGACAAAAGAAAAATATTCCAAATTCATTATCTTTTCTTTTTTCTTCTTTCTTATTTAATGCAGGTATCAGCAAAAAAAAAAAAAAAAAAAAATTGAGGCAACACAAATGTCCACATTTACAAAACACCTTAAAGCACTAATGTCTATACAAAATTTTAGAAATTTTCCAATAATTGCCTGAAATTTTAAAAAATATAAATTGGCAGGAGTTTTGATTTCTGGAATGTCAGGCAGGTTGCAGTGGCGTAAGACCATTTCTATGACTGCCCAAAGATCTCAGTATCTTACAAGCAACAGGGAAAAAACTAATTTAATGATCTTGTACAAAATAAGATCAGAGAAAAATAAAAGTTATAACTGCCCTCATAGGAGCAAATAACTTCAAAGAACCTAATCTCAAAGATTGACAGATGTTCACATTTTGAGAACAATTCATTAGACACCTTAAGATTAAATTATAGACCCTAAACCATATGTGTCCAAAAGCATAAGAATATTTTGAATTAAATCCCAGCCTCTCTTAAATTCAGAAATTATCAGAAATCAGAGAGTTTGAGTTATTTTGGTAGTCTTTCCTTTCCTAAAAAAGCCTAAAATACATTTTCAGACATTTCAGCCATGCAATAAAGTAGAAAACCATTTTAACTGATGTAATTTCAGAATTAAAGTTTTCTCTACAATGGATTAACCAAATCATCAAACTCAAAACAACCAGTTCCACTATAGCCTTTTTGTCATACAGTCTACCAAATCCTATCTTTTTAAGGCAACAATCTTAAAGTGCTAGAAATATGCATATGACAAGAATGATTTATTTATAAAGTTTTTAATAGAACTATAACATTTCATAAAGAGATATTTTGAAATGCTTCTAAATCATTAAGATTTCATAATTCACATGATTCTAAAACCAAAGAACCTCCTACTAATAAACTCAAAATTTGTGTATACCTGTACACAATCAGTCCATAAAATAAATTTTTAAACTACTTTTTTTTAACTAAAATCAGTCCCATTTTTAAATTACTTTTTTAAACCTTATTCTTCTTAAAATAAGTTTGCTTACTTTACTCATTTTTTAAAGAACTGTTTCTTTCAGAGCTAATTTATCATTCTCTTTCATGAAATAAACCTAATTTTGGCTTTTATGACTGTGCTACAAATGTTTCTGAGTAAAAATAAAGTTGTTAAGGTCTGGAAAGTAATCAGAAATACATTTTAAAAGGGAAATTACATTTTCATTGAAGAATAGAAAATTACACAGTGCCTTGTAAAATCTACTAAAGGTAATGGGAAACAGAGGTATCTCACACACATACAAAACATGCTTGCATACACGACAGAGTAGTAAGTCATGGAGACAAAGCAAGGAGGGTGATATATTGGTATCATATCCAGAAAACATAAAGGCTAAACAAAATAATTCCACTCTCAATCTCACTGAATTTTGTGTCTTAATTCACCTTGGACTCTTTGAGAAGGCAAAATACATTTACAGAAGCTGTTCCCTGAGGTTCCCTCTCCCATCCATGAGCTAATAATAAATGTAATAAAGTAGAAATTGTTTTGAATCTGAATGAATTTCTATAATCTAATTAGTAAAGAATCATAAGCTAAAATAGACAACTGCATTGCATATAAGCCAAGACAATTCAGCAAGAAATTCAAAACTAACCCTATCAGATTTACCAAAGGCAATCTTACCCTACGACAGCCACCATCTCATCATGAAACCCCCTCCTCATCTTCTCACCTTGGGGTCGACTTTTTTGAAGTTGGGATCCTCTTCATCCACCTCAAAGTAGAGTTCAGAAGAGGTGACAGAAAGAGTACCCTTTACCACAACAGAGGGGGCCACAAGCTGAGCTGGTGTACTCAGGCTAACAGGACCTGCCAAAAGGAAAAGATAAGTCAAACAAGTTCAAATAACATTTTTCAAAAAATCAAATTTGACCAGAAATTTTATTTAATTTTTTATTCTTCTAGTACTAAACTGCCTGCCAGGTCATCTTACATATTCTATCCACTCAAAATCTTCCTGAAAAAGCAAAGTCAGGATTCTCATACTAGAAGATTTATAATAGGCAGTTAATGATAATAGTAAACTAGGATGCAATTATTTTACACCAAGTTTGCTAAACTTTGACCTAGTGTGTAGGTAAGAAGGTGGCTCTGCCTAAATAAGTTCATCCACATTCCATTTAGAAAATAAGCCTCAGGCTATCAAACAACATGATACAACAACCAGGAGCAAGGAAGCCTCAATAGGCTTCCAAGGCTAGGGGTTAGCTTAGAGTTTGGCTCAAGCATGACTACAAAAAGATCACTAACTTATCAATGAAGTGGGAAATGCTAAACCATATTCTCTGATAAAGATTTTGTGCCAGGTTGACACAAACCTCCTTCCATAACAATTTTACCCCATGAAAGACTGTAAAAATACTTCTTTTCTAAGCCTTCCTTTCCACTGTTAAATATTGTTCAATGCTTCCAAATCTAATATTCCAAATGTAGTTCAGGGACTCTGGGAGTAAACAGCTGGAGGGTGGGTTTCCAAGTGAATGAATTTTTATTGGAATAATCAAATCTCCATAGGGCTTATCAAAGAGACAAATCAGACTGCTACTGAAAACAATAGATTCACCACAGATAAAACAGCACATAATAGAGCTGAATCTAAAATAAGGACTAAAAATAATAATTATATAATATATACACACACACATATAAACGTAGACACAGATGTAGAAAGAATTTGAAATTCCATGTCAATTCCTCTTTGTATAAATTCTATAGGGGAAGAAAACAGCAGAAGAAAAGATTGGCACTTACAGTTCTGAATTAATATAGTGCCTATAAACAAGGTACGCCTGCTTCAGGTAATCAATGGGTGAATAAGTGTTTCAAAATTCAGATGAATTGACATTTCCATCGATTGTTAGAAGGGTGATGGTCCTTAATCTCACATCAATCTTAATGTGTGCCAGTAGGACAATAGAAGGGATGCTCTGCGGAGATCAGAGCAGGTTTTGCCCTCTATTCCCAATGTACAAATACATTGTGTTTGCAGATGGGTAGCAGATAGCTGCAGAACAGCTATGATTTCCCAAAGCTCATCTCTATAAATGGATGAAATAAGCAGCTATGTGTTCTTTTGCTGTCTCCTTTTGCCCTCTGTACATTAGCATGTAATACTGAGAAGAAATAACATTTTTTCAATCACTCTCAGACATTCAATTACAGGGTAAGCAGACAGCTGCAGGAGCTAGGGCAGCCTAGGTCCTACAGAAGACCCCTGACAATTTCCACTTCATTTCTAACCCACACCACTTTATTAGTGTGGATTACTTCTTAATCCTAT